CCAGCGCTGCCCATTAACAGCATTGTCAGCAAGAGTGGCATCTCTGACTGATGCTAGGTCATGGAATGATGCAATATTATTTCACTAACATGCCCACTTTTTGGACGCTTCATTTGCAAGAGCCACCTCACTCTCATGTTGGTATAATCCACCGAAATGCTGATTTTCTCATTGGCCCTGTCACACATCACCAAACACGCGGCTAGTTAAGCGGCGTTCTTAGTAACAAGCGGGAAAGTCTGGAGCCTTGCAATTCTCGCTTGTTCTTTGTCTTCCCTAGTATCTTATATCATGGCATAGAAAGTATACACATCGAGACTTCTCTCAATCACATTGGCCAGCATAAGACAATGAAGGGGGGATGTCGAGGAGCAAGGTCCGTAGAGATAAATTTGAGCCAGGGGTGCCAATGTGACAATGCCGATAAGTAGCAGTAAAGACAGCTTTCTTTTCATGCGCGAGGCAGCTAAGAGATTCTGACTTTGCAAATTCCCATACACGCTGCTTTTCATCATCAAGCCTTCTTCAGGATCTTGATGGTCCAGCATGAACCTTTCGTCTGTTAGTTCATCCAAGAATCGAGATTTGAAACCCGACTTCCCTCTGTTGGAAATATATTAAGTGCCGGCCGTGGTAAACTTGGTTGCTATGAAGGTAAGTTCAATCAAATCCGTCTAGAGCGCAATGGCACTTCTCGAATAAGGCCTTCAGCAGAGTGCACTATGGCTTCAGACACACGTTAAGGCATTGCTTCCACGTGTCTAACACCACTTGTTTCCCACCTTAATTGAGCCATTTCTAAGGGTACTGTTCTACGGTGTCTAGGAATACCTCGGCACTCCACTCAGAGCTTTGGGAAAAACATGGTATTATGTAGTGACACTCTTGAATATTTCCGTGAATGCCAAGACGCGTTGGCTCAGGCCTCACTCCAGCTTAGGATCTTATATTTAATCCTGTCACCCTTGCCCTCGCCTATGTTGGTTGATAGCTACCTACACTCCCCTTTTCCCCGTCCCAGTCGTTCTTCAACGGCAATGCATTAACGCCCGCCCGAGCCATGCACAAGATAGACAATGAGACCGATCCAGGGGTAGAATATGGGGTAGGGCAGGGCCGTGTGAGGTGTAGGTAAATTGGAGAGAACTAGCCAACACTAAAAAACGAGTGTCGCCCTTATTCATTTTACCCCCCTCGATGACCTACCTGGATCAGACTTTAACAAGCAAATTGAGCCTCAGTTAATTTTCTTGAAGCTTCCCCGCCTCTCTCTCTTTCTTTTAATGACAAGATTTTGGAACACCCTATGGTTTCTATGCCTCGTTTTAGCCGAGTTTGGCGGTATGAACAGACATTGAGTTTCAACTTTCGGCAGCGTGAACCATGATTTCGTCTTCGACCTAGACGAATGCGGCGATCGTGCCTCATATTTCACAAATATCGGGAGTTAAGAGCGGTAGTCATGTCCGGGTGGCTTGCATCATGATCATCTCAATACAGTCTGGAAGCTATGGATTCCTCAACGCTTACCTGAATACGAGAGGATTTGCCCACTTTGCCCACATGGACTCCCCGATTCATGAGTGAAACAAGCGTATTTTGAAAAACTCTGTTACCGTTGCCGAAAGACAGGCAATTCCGCCCTTTGTTCGTTCTAGTCGTCCGTAGTGGCGACTACGAGCTGCTAGCGTCGGAGTCCACGTGCGAGACATCTCCAACAGGGACTAGCCGCAGCTCATCCCGCCGTCCGCATCCAGCAACCAACACGGCCCAGGTGAATTGTGGCAAGTCGATCCTCCAGCATCAAACTTAGTGCTGTTGGGTCAGTGAGTCTGACCTATAGACATGGGTGTAGCGTCGACCTAAGCTGTTAGTCGGCCGGAGTAGGCGCATCAGTCGCGCGACGAGTCAACTTGTACCTTGCGACTAGCGCCATGGCCCACCGGCGTCCATACTCAAAGCACTGTCGAATTCCGCTTCTAAACTGTTCTGGCAAAAGCGACCGGCCCCTAAGGCGGCATCAGCCTCTCAACGAGAGTGACGCTGCGGACCATGGGACCCGCAGTGCGGAAACCTACTCTGGGCAGATCTCATATGAGGTTGCCAGACCCGTGGCGCAAGGATACTGGTATCGCTGTTTTCTTCTCTTTTGTCTTTTCCCCCGGGAGTCTCCCATCATTGGCGACAGGGTTTGCGTTAGCAGGACCTTTCGCGTTCACCATTGTCAAAAGACACGACTAGGTACTGCAACTTTATCGCGATGATGAAGTCCATGCTTATGAGGACCGGCGTCCTGGCGGCATTTGCGCTGGTAGCAGGAGCAGAGTCAATATTTGACACAAATTCGACGGCGGTTGCACAATGGCTTGGTGCAGTACCACAATGCTCAGTACGTCATAAGCCCCTTTGGCTAAGTGATTGTTTCTTGTTGTGGATTTCCAAACACCAGTTGAAACGAAGTTCTACTCAAGAAATTGCTCACACTATTCTGAATTCAGATGCCATGCTTCGCTGAGGTTCTCTCATCCGGGAGCTGTCAGCTCAAGGGACTTGCGAAATGCGCCTGCACGAACGATGAAATTCAACTAAGAGTCTCAACATGCGTGCAACTGTCCTGTGACTTTGCTGATCAAGTCGGTAAGTACATATTACTTATGCCTGCGACCTTTGAGCCCTGTTCTGAAGTTTGTCCCATCCAGATGCCACACGAAAATCCCAAGTCTTGTGCCACGACTACCCGAATCAGCAACGGAAGGGGAGCTATGCTATATTCGCCATCACGCTACCAGTAATTACAACTTTCATTGTGTTTCTAAGATGCTTCGCCCGCTGGACTGTTGCTCACAAGCTGTGGTGGGATGACTACGTTACACTACTCGCCTTGGTATGCCCGTCGCTATTTTCATCCCGTCATGCGAATTTAGGAACTGATGATCAAAAGGGTTTGCTCATTGTTCTATCGGCATGTGGCGTAGCGAGTAAGTTATCCACCTTTTCACTATAACATGAGGATGGAGGGGCTAACTTGAATCTACAGTTTGTTCCTTGGGATTCGGAAAGCATTACTGGGTCATTGACCCTAGCAATGCTAAGCCAATTTTACAGGTAACTTGGCCCCTTCATGGCTATCTTTTCACTTTGAATTAGCTAATCACTTCCCGTACACAGATGTTCTACGCGATGCAAATCATATATGTTCTTGTAACGTGAGTCTTGCTCTGAAGCCAGATGTTGGACTCTTTGAAGCTGAATGTCATTAGGATCACTGCAAAGATCACCATCTGTTGTTTCTACCACCGAGTCTTTCCCAGCAAACGATCACAGATAGCTTCAAAGGCTGCCATTGTGGTACTCATTATTCGTGGGCTCGTCGTGGTTTTCTTGATCGCTTTTCAATGTGTCCCGCTCACCGCAATCTGGGATAAGTCGGCCAAGGGGCAATGTCTTAACCTTACAGCTATCGGTTACGCCGGCGCCATCTCTGGTATTGTTGAGGATGTGGTACTTCTTATTATGCCGATCCCCGAGCTTCTGCACCTACAGCTGGGGCTCAGGAAGAAGCTCGGTCTGATCTTCATGTTCTGTCTTGGCTCATTGTAAGAAGCAATACCTTTCTAGATTGATTAGAAATACTAATGAGACATCTAGCGGATGCATTGCCAGCGTGGTTCGACTCAAGTACTTAGTCTCCTTTGCCAATAGCTTCGACCCAACATGTATGTCATCAACCCAGGAAATTATGTTACAACATGCGATGGTAACTAACATTCTTGACACTAGGGGACAATGCTGATGTTGTGAGTTGGAGTGGCGTCGAGGTGAATGTGGCCGTGGTTTGCGGCAGCTTGGCGGCATTACGAGCACTGTTTAACTATCTCGTGCCTTACTTTACTACTGTAAAGGAGGAGACTAGTGAAAGCATGTATTCCTTACGGGAAGAAAGGAAAGAAGGGGCAATTTCAGTTTAAGAAAAGTCAAGATCAATCCAAATTATTTTCGAGAAGCATCCCACAATCTAAAAATAGGTAATGCTGGTGGGTTAGGTGCAAACACGAACTGAGAAAGAAACCTAGAAGCCAGAATCGCTGGCTGGGATTGAGGTATACCCAGTACAAGTCGTACCCTCTTATTCTTTACCCTGGCCCGCCATGTACAAAAAAAGACCATTGCCGGCAGAAGAAAGGCAAGCAGAACCAAATGTCCACGGATTTCGGTGGGATCGAATTATTTTTATTCAGCTAGGCCTTGCAGATGCCAATATATCTGAATATGACGTAGTATAGGAGAGATTTCCAAAGTACGCACCACGCACGCGGTAGTTCTCGACAGGCTTATGCATACAGGTTACGTAAACCAATGGGTGTTCATGCTCCGCATTCTGGACTGACCAGCGATCATATCAAATTTTCGACATGGGTATAGTTCTCAAACCAGGGTTTACTGTCATGATCATGCGGAGGAACTCGCTATGATAAGGCGGCGTGCCAAGTTACTAGACAGACATTGGTCCACAAGCACAAAGACATCGTGAGCTCTGTGGAAACCTGAGGAGAGAAGTTCCAAAAAGAAGCATTTTCTCTGCGACGAGCATACGAAATCACTTACTTGGCCCACTTCATTGGCTAGTGTGGAGAAGTACTGGAGATATGAGAGGGTAAGTGGATGGACTCAACCCGTGTTTGTGCAAGTTTATTCATCAACCCTTCCCCTCGTCGTTCGGGATTCTTAGAAATTGGATAATACCGACTTTGACTTGAAGTATTATCCATCATCCTACAACTCATAAAATTCAATGTGTGGAGTTGTAGGCTGCCTTGATACTACCTAATTCTTCCGCAGTAAGGGGAGTGATGGTACCTTGGCGAGGAGAGATGGGGTACTTGTAATCTTTACGCAATGTCCGTTTCCCCCTGGAAAGATCGGGTGACTCAAGCGGAACATGGCCATTGCCGCCAAATTCGTCGGTAAGCAGGATGTACCTCGGCCCATTGATGTACATCTTAACAGTTCGCCTTGAAGATGGAAGGGCCCTCCACCTCCTTGGTCCCCGCGTTTGTGCCAATGCAACTGGCTACCCTGTCCCAATCTGCCAGTCCGGCGGTTAGGTTGGAGCTCTTCCCCTGGACAACATCTGCGGAGCCATCTACAGTGGCCTTGGTGAAGCGATAGTAGGTGTCATACTCTTCGATCACTGTGGAGTCGATCCGGCCTCTGGGAGGTTCGCCTTGCCAGATCTTTGGCTCACTGGAAGTTTGAAAATCTTGCGTGGTAGCGTAGACCATTCTCTGGTACTCGAGCGGATCGTGCTTAGGATTGGCCGTGTTGTTGTAGATACCCAACGCCCAGTACACGACGGAGGTCTGTAGCTCCTCGTCATAGTACGCCTCAGGTGCCCCAGTATCGCCATAATTATCCGGTGATACTACGACATGGCGTTGAGCACTAAATGTGATGAGGTCCTCCGACTCCCAGATCTTGAGTAACCGACTACTAATACTCTGGGCCTCGCCTGGAGATGTGCCGCAGGCAATGCAGAGATCCGTAGCTAGGATGTAGAACTTGTCCCCTGCGTAAGAACCCATAATGAAAGGGTCACTAACTCCACCATCCCCGTTGGTTGATTTCAGAATCGAATATCCATTGTTGAGCTCCGTGAAGGATAAGGCGTTGTTTCTGTTACCGGCAGCCAGGCAGATATTCTCATCGCGGTCGCTGAGGTATAGAAATGCGTATCCCTCGTGTTGAGAGTTGCAATCGATCTGGCGCTTTGTTTACTTTGGGCTTATAACGCTCCCAAGGTTTGTTGGTGATCCCGCGGCGAGTATAGCTAGGGAAGCTAACGTGCCAATGGCGAGCATTGGGTTGAAGCTGAGAAACATTATGATGATGAAATATAGCACAGGACCTAGTAACAGAGGTCATAAAGGTAGTAGGGTGAGAATGAGCACGTTGATCGGGAGTGTTAGGGTTGACACTTTTGTCACCTCGAATGACTCTGAAATATGTGACACGGCAGCCTGGCAGCTGATTATACCTTTCTGATTCATTGACAAACCCAGCAGGGCCAAAAACCCGATTCAATCCTCGGACTAGCTTTGGTCCAGCTTTTATTCGGCGACTGCTGTCTACAGGGCGTTGAGCTTGTAGAGAAGATTGAACATTCGTGTTTGGAGCGCGCCAATAGCTAAGGTTTCTTATAGATCCTATGTCGCTACATGTAGGTAAAGAACGTATGCTAGTCACCTCACGGAAAGAACACATCAGATTAATTAGAATATGAGGTTGAGCTAGACCCCGGGAAGGCCAATCCTAGGCTTCACTTGAGGATCCCCTGGACTTGACAATAGTCAACCCGATAAATGTCCCGGCACACCGGACCCGCTTTTCACGAGTGAACTGGTGATTGGAGCGCGTCAATGGAATCCACGTAAAACTCGTGTCGACCTCATGTTAGCCAGTTTTACCCCAGGTCATCTTCCCCATGAGAACCCCGCGATTCTATTCCCCGCACGAATACGGAGTAGTTCATCTTGACTTGAGAATGGAGACAGGGACCCGCCCCAATCTTGCGTCGTGAGTCCTCATAAACTCAAAGCGCTACTCGGTATTTTAGGACCCGAGCCAATGTGCTGATGCGACACCTTGGAAGGAGTCGATATTGATTGTGGAAGGTTACGAGACTTTTAGAACACACATAAGACACTCGCGCGACAGGATCTTGACGAATCCAGTCTTTACATGTGTTGAGTCCCATCATATGGCCCAATGTCCAAAATGCGTAACTTTTCAGCACTTGCATGTCTCGCTGGCCTCTGGCCATGCCTCACTTATGGCTACGTCAATCCCATTAGAACAGGGAGTGACCCGCACATGGTGTATGAGAATGGAATGTAAGTATCATCTGCTAAGATAGATTTCCTGTCAATATTTACAATTAATCTCAGGTACTATTTGACCTCCACAACGTGGACCGACGTGCGCATCACCGCGGCCTCCACAATCGAAGGTCTCAAGATAGCAGAACCTCGCGTCATCTGGTCCGATACCACGAACCCAGCCAGAGCTTGCAATTTTTGGGCGCCTGAGATGCACAAGCTTGGCGATCGATGGTACACGTACTTTACAGCAAGTGTATGCAACTCCGATTGGGGTATTGTGCTGCCGTCTTTGAGAGTGTTTGTTCTCGAAGGCGGTGGGGAGAACCCATTATCTGCAAATTACACATTGTTGGACTCGATCATTCCGCCCAACTACGATGGAGGGATGCTTGACGCGGTATGCTATACGATTAATCCATACCAACTACACAACTGACAGAATAACCTCTAGACCGTTTTCGAGATTGGAGATACGAACTACTTTCTGGTATGTCTGTTCTTCTACAATTGTGCCAGGCGCAAGACTGAGCCGCTGTTTAGTTCTCTGCTGTCAAGAGCTCTATCAGTCCTGATGGTGCATCACTCTGGATTGCCGAACTCCTATCGCCAACAGAATGCAGTAATGCCACAATGATAGCAGCCCCTGAATATGACTGGGAGAAGGAAGACTCTGCCGTTCTTGAGGGACCATACGGAATAATCTCGCCTTGTGGCACGATTTACGTGGTCTACTCAGCCGACTCTTGTAGCACGCCGGCATACAAGCTCGGCGCCATGAAGTTCGCTAATGGTGGCGATCCGCTTAGCCGAAGCTCATGGACCAAGTTATCTCAGCCCATCTTCGAAACCAAGAACGGACTCTATGGGCCTGGCCATAATGCCTTTTTCAAGAGCCCCGACGGGACACAGGATTGGCAGGTGTTCCATGCGAACCTTAATCCGGGTGATGGATGTGGCACCACTCGAAAGGTATTTGTCCAGCCTGTAAGCTGGACCAACGATACAGTTGACCTGGGCGATCCTCTGCCTGTCGGCACTGAGATCAATCCACCTACTGGCGAGTAAGATGATTCATCAGGAATGTGGCTAGAAGCAGCCGGGCGTCTCTGAAAGAAAACGCACAAAGTTACGGATGAACATTATGAACTGGATGTAACAGATTACACCTTCAGTTACCATCAATACTGGATAATAGTAAAGACAGCAATGACAAGAATAGATTTATTGAGGCACGAATTGACTGGCAGACTGTGTCGTCTCCCACTTTCTACATAATTTAAGAAGACAGATAACCGCAGCAAGTGTCACTTCATGTCATATGCCTGTTGCGACTTTTTCTCTTAGCCATGTGTAAAGTAGAACGATGCTGCTGTAGATGCACGACTAAGGCCAGGCTACTCGACTGTACCCTCACAATATCTCTAATATCCCGACTTGGCAGCCTTCTAGCCTGGAAGCTGGCATTACCTCGCCAACTCCCAACATGGACTTTCTCATCATTTGATGTATCATGCTATATTCCCGAAGACTTCAGACTGCCTCAGACATTGTAGGTTCTAGCATGTAGTATTTAGTAAGTACTAGGTTCTTTTTGCCTCAGTCATCGCGGTGTCAATGCATTCTTCGGATCGCGTGTTGTCAAAAACCTAGATGCTTCTTTACCTATAATCAAGACGATCTCATCTTCTGGAAATCCGGTGCTGTTATCCCTCCATATCCACCATCTATAATCTAGTAAATGTCTTCTCGCGGCCGTGATTTGATCGAGGGTTATACTAATTACTAGGGGCCATTATAAACAAGATGGTGTCTCCCGTTCAGATCTTTACCGTAATTCAAGGTATCTTTACCCTGCCAACAACCAAATGTCTTTTCTTGTCTTTATAATAATTACGGTTGGCATACTTATCCGCACGGCAAAACTTTCAAGCTAACACGAAGCTCGTCAATCGTGCATTGAACTAATGTAGATATCGGAACATGGAAAGTGGAGCAATTTCTTAGTTGACATGGCTAATTGAATCCTCCGACATGATAATAGATGGAAGTGAGGATTTCAAAGTCCGTACCGGCTCCAAAGTTCTTACTTCGATCCTGCCGCTGAATATTTCAACTTTGCAAATGCGATTTCGTAGTCGCTTTCTAGTTTTGGCTTAGTCAGGGTGTAAACGGGGGAAAGCTTCACCTCTCTAGCCGTGGAGACAAATGTCAGATTAAACTTCACCATCCAATGATAATGCTAAGCGTCGTCATTCTCTTACTCAGTAGGATGAACAGATGGCCGGTTCGGCCCAAACAAACCATGGTCGATAGCGCGAAACCATCAGGTTGTAGGGTTCGAACTCATATAGCTAGCTGTCATTGGTAAATCTGAACAAAAGGTCTTTCGGTCCTAGATACCTGGATCAATCAATAATGCCGCCTAGAACGTCTGATTTACGACTAGGGGTCATCAAGGCGTATTAAATAGCAATTAGACGGGAACGGGATATGGACGAACCGGTGTAATCGACGCCTTGTTTGTGACCCCTTTAAACGGCAAGGGTTTGAGAACCTCCCTTGAGCCAACAGTAGCTACGTACACGGCTAAGCCCTTGACTGTTTTCAATGGGGCAGAGAGTGGTACTGACAGAGTAACACTCATGGTAATGAATTCCATCTTGCAACCCTAATGCCTGTGTAATTTGGGATCATCCGGATCCAATCAGATGAAAGTTCCCGGTCGTGGTTAACCCTTAATGTGTTGTTGGAACTCCGATATAGTCTTGGCTTTTGTCCCTGATTACTTGGAGTTGGGGGCCTAATGGAATCCGGGGACATTGCCCTGCCTCAAGGGAAGGCCAGACAGCGAAATCAGCCCTATCAGGAGTCCTGTTCGTAGACGCGTATGACAACACGAAGAGGTAATCATGTAACATTCGGCGACACACAAAGGCCGAAGCCCCTTTCCCTGGCTGAAAACGATCATACAGTAAATGATATGCCGTCTTGACCATCCGGCTCTTCGGGGTGTGATGCAGCTTTGAAGCTTAATTGCGTTATTCTTCTGTTTGGGATACTCTCGGCGTGGGGGCTGGGACGTAGCCAATTGGGATCATCTCGTGGTTTACCAAGGTTATATCTAGGTAGGGTTCAGGGATATGCCTTGCTTTATCACCCATGCTTCTAGAAATTCCTGATTTCTTCCAATACCAAGATCAACTTCCAGGCTTCTGCCCGACCAATATGAGACCCTGATATCCATCCAATTCGTCGTCAAAATTTGGCGGGCTTCATTTACTCTAGTCGCAGGATTGTGTAGCGTGGGTGTATTTTCAATAGTTTCTCCTCAGCCGCAACATAAGACCCATCGTCGCACCATTCAGAGACAATGCATCGGCCAGTGAGCTGGGCATTTCGAGGCTGAGATCCTAGGCGCATGGGGGCTGTGTCTACATCCCACAACCGTCACATACACCACAACGCACCTCAACCAACGCAACCAACCAGGGGAGCCACGGCCACCCTAAAAAACGGAAAGAGACCGATTCATAAACTCCAACTCAACACTAGAGCGCGATCTCGGGCTATGAAAATGAATAGCCCTTCTTTTTGAACGACCCATGGGGCACAACGGGCCATTTCGTATCCGCATAACCTTACCCTGCAAATCGAATATAGTCTGCAGGGTCTGATTACGTGTCAGAATTGAAATCAAAGTTGCAGAGCAAACCCATGCGGACATGAAGTTCGACTGGGAACAATAGCTGACCATCCAAGGACGGGTGATATTCCTCACATTGCCGCTTTGAAATGCAATCGGGACGCCGGCACAGTCGCTGCCTAGGTGACAGAAGCCAGAGAAGCCAAAAGGCGGATCCGTATTTGACAGCGTCCTTGTATTGTGTGCCGATGGCGTTTTTGGCTCAGGAAATAGATAGTATACGAGGACGAGGCCGAAAGCTTGGTGTAATATCTCGGAGCACCCAATCGACAAAATCCTACAACTACAGAGCTTTTGCCAAGCGCTCAACGATCATCCATTCGCCTGTGTCCACTCCTCGCCCTTATCCTAGCAATCGTGAGACAGAGAATTCTTGGAGTCTCATTGCAAATATGAGTAGGGCGGAAGGGGGGAAAGTTCATGTAACCGCCGATCCGCTATGAGCCGATGAAGGCTCCAAGAAGGTCCTGTCGATTTAACTTTAACAGAGTTCCTGGTGGCTACCGACACTTATCTACTTACCGGACCGTCTGCTCAACTATAAGGCGGTCGAGGTTCAATGCACAGTTTACACCGATGAATCAGAATGTTGATTAGGTGTGTACGCTGTCAATTTGTCTACCTGCAGTATCCCAAACCTTCTGTTCAGTAGCTTCCATTCACAGAAGCCTAGTTCTCTGGATAGAGTGAGTAGTCATTTCGCATGAGGCAACTACAATGTCTCTCACCTTCCCAAGGTCACAGCGCATATCATTCGATAAGGTAGGCTACCGTCAGGACTCGGCAACGGCACAGGCATGTTGATTGAAGTTTGAAGGTCTAAGCTATAGTAACTGAGGAGTACTCGAAACAAATGTGTAAGAACCAAGTGAGAAATGAAAGACTACCAAGGTTAGTCAAAGGGGCATCGCTTGCTCAGCGTTCGGCTTGATCCTGATCTCATCACGCAGGAACTCGAAAAGCTAATATCTCGCAAACTGTACTTTAGAAGAGGTTGAACAGACGTCTCCTTCTCTTTCCTTATCTGGACCTTCGCTGATATTATCGCTATCTTGGGCACTGTGCTGTTGCTTTGATTGGGTGTGTATTGTAATCTCAGTTGTCCTTGTCGGGTATTCATTGTTCGTTGGATAGTTTGTGTCTCCTTTCCCAATGCGAACCTCATACTCGGGCTCTTCAGCGTTGGCGAAGTGTTTTGACCTCTCGCCGTTGAATGTCTCGAGTGCGACGTCGTGAGCTTGTCCGTTCCCTTGACTGCGCACGTAGGCGCTGTTGTTCGAGGCCCCTCGGGTGACTTCGACGAGCAAGTTGAGGATACTAAACTCTAGCTTGAGTTTGATGCTATATGCCAGGGGCTTCCAAGCCGTCTGGATATCGTACAGATTGGTGAACTCGAGAGCCAGGATCGTAACGTCGAGAAGAATGACCAGGATATTCACCCAGATCAAGTGATTCATGACCTTTTTGGCGCGCCCATCGCCGATGCTATTCATAAGGCGAAGGCGTTTGGTAGTTTCCCAAACGTATAGTGCAGAAATGATGATTTCTTGCACAAAGAAGACGGTGAGCTGGATCTTTTCAAAGATCTGGTAAGGGTTTTCGAATGGTCCCGGATTTGCCGAGTTTACTCCATAAACCAGGATGATTATGGGGATATGCAGACAGATTGCGTCGGCGATTATCATGTATAGCACTAATCGCAGGCGTTTCCGGTCATGTACAACAATGTGTAGTCGTGAGTATAATACAACTGATTGTCCCGTTATCATTGAACACCAGCCGATGAGAATGAGTGTAGCGTAGATGATGGGCTTCGTCGTCAAGGACAGGTGTCTCAGTAGATAGCCAGTGCCATTAAAAGCTATGCCCCATGTTGCGATTAAGATACTCCAGAAATACAATCCGGATCGTCTCTTGAAAGAAGTAAAGATCGAGACAGTGAGTTCGAGAACATTGTAGAAAGCAATGCCGATGAAGACACAAATGACGATGACGATGATGTTTTCTTTGGTGTTGATGCCGCCGGCCTCTGCCATTGTTGCCAGCTGTCTTGGAGTTATCAGAACTGATGGTTGGTTCAATGAAGAAATACATTTGGCAGAAAGAAAATATCCATCGAGGCAAGGAACATGATTATTACACATTTACCAAGAGCAAAGTTGTGCTGTCTGTAGACAAGCTGGGATCTCACGGTTCAGATTCAGGTTCTCCATGTTCAACCTGCATCATCGGGTGTTTCTGGCGGAACATGGCAGGGAGAACAGGAGTTGGTTGACCAAGACCCCTCCATCAGGATCATGTCGCGAAACAGCAGCTTGGCATATGCTTTGGAGGTGCCGTGATCAATGTAGCATCAGAGTCATTGAATCCAGACTACTTTTCCAAATACGATTAAGTCGAACCACTGCCAAGACCCGGGGAACCACTCCGCAGTAGCTAAAATTCGGAGTGGGTGTTCTGGGGGTAGCTTTATTGGCACGGTCGCATTCCATTCTCTTCTTCCTAGATCGTAGTCATTAATGGGCTAGTTTAGCGTCTCCACGTAACTGCAAATGTGACTATGCAATTTCACACTTGCAAGGGTTCATCGACGCGGGGAACTTGCACGGTAGCATACAAAGCTCATGGTACCCAACCTCTGGAACCATCATCTCACTCGTTACACACTATGACCAACCACAACACACTCCTTGAAACTCAAAAAATGTCGCTCTCGCTGGCGGTTGTCACTGCTGGTTTCTTCATGCCCCTGGGACTTAGCTGTGCAGCCGAAGTTCCCGCTGCAGCTCAAATCATTGACTGGAAGAGCTTTAACGTTCTTCCGACGGTGCTCCCTCCGGCAGAGGCCAACGACTCTACGGTTCTGAACCCCCAATTCGACTCTTGCGGTCTCTTCTTTGCTTACTTTTTCGTAGCTCTTCTTGTGGCCCGGCGTGACGATAGATTCTCTTGAAGCCAAACCCTTCCATATCTACGACCCCGAGTTCTACGATGTCATTGGGCAGAACCCCTCGCTGACCCTGATTGCTACATCTGACACGGATCCTATTTTCCATGAGGCCGTTGTCTGGAACCCTCCTACTGAAGAGGTCTTCTTCGTCCAGAACGCTGGCGCTCCTGCTGCAGGTACTGGGTTGAACAAGTCGTCCGTCATTCAGAAGATCTCACTTGCGGAAGCCGAGGCCGTACGAACAGGTTCCAGGGCCAACGCTACCGTCACTGTCGTCCCTTCGCATCCGCAGGTCATCAACCCCAATGGTTGGTAACGGTTAATATTAACCTGATAGGTTTCATATAGCTTACATCAGTAGGTGGTACGAACTATAAAGGCAACATCGTCTTCGCTGGTGAAGGCCAAGGTGATGATATCACTTCTGCACTGTATCTTATGAATCCAGTAGCTCCATTCAACACCACAGGTGAGTTCGGTTTGCCCTTGGGCCTATCAAACGCACATGAAGCTGATTTCTGCAGTCCTCCTGAACAACTACTTCGGTCGTCAGTTTAATTCACTCAATGACGTCGTCATCAACCCTCGCAACGGGGAGCTGTACTTCACCGACACCCTATACGGCTTCCTCCAGGACTTCCGTCCTCCACCTGGGCTGCGTAATCAGGTCTATCGTTACAACTTCGAGACGGGTTCAATTGCTGTCGTCGCAGACGACTTCACTTTGCCCAACGGTGAGTTGCTTGATAGTGGGAAAAGAATGAACGCCTAACAACTGACAGGTCTTACCTTCTCACCTGATGGCTTGAAAGCCTATGTCACCGACACAGGCATTGCCCTTGGATTTTACGGTCGCAACCTCTCGTCTCCCGCCTCAGTCTACTCATTTGACGTGAATGAAGACGGCACCTGGGAGAATCGCAAGACCTTTGCTTACACTGCCGCATTCATCCCCGACGGTTGGTTCTTTGCTTCAGTAGTTCAATCCCGAAATCTGACTCTGTATAGGTGTTCACACCGACTCTGTTGGCCGTGTCTACACTGGCTGTGGCGATGGTGTTCATGTCTTCAATCCTTCCGGCAAACTCATTGGCAAGATTTACACTGGCACAACAGCTGCCAACTTCCAGTTCGCTGGGAATGGCCGGATGATTATCACTGGACAGACGAAGCTGTTTTATGTCACCCTGGCTGCGTCGGGTGTGGCCATACAGTAGTCCACGGGGAGAGCATGTGGCTGTCGGTTAAGCACGCGTTGTATTCTAGAAGATAATTCATGTAACGGTATGGTGCGTTGCGTGTCAAACCCTATTTGTCTGCTTTGCTGCTTGCAGAATAGTTTGCATTCTTGGTACAAATGCTTTCTAAATGTCCATAATAATTTCTTTCATCAGCCAGTCGCCCCATTTTGTACTCATAATACGTAATCATCTCTTTCACCAAGATGCTCTGACGAGCTGAGGATATCGTAGTTACATCTTTTTCTTAGGTGAATGTGTTGGGAATAGATTTTCCGCCTTTCGATAGGGACCACCAAGTGAGTCTATGAGCTACTCTTCATCGAAGACGTATGTGGTAGACTGCATATATTTCTCTGCATCAGTCACGTCGCCATTATCGCCACGGGACTAAATTCAATCCTCTCAGTACTGCAGACTAGCACTTTTAGGAAAGCTATTCTCTCGCACCATATTACCTCTGCCAAGCTCCATAGAGCACCCCGCTTCTTTGCTGCCTATGTTAGTTGCAAGGTTTCGCATCGTGCATAGCATGCCCAACTTCGGTCTGCTGTCAATCATGTGCTGCCGTCTCAACCAGAGCGAGTTACCGCTTCAGTGACGTGATCTTTCTAGAATAATACTCTCACGCCAACTGAAGACTTCAGCCCTTTGAGCGCTGTTATTCTATATTTCATATAAATCCCTGGGGTAATCCATCATAGGTCTTCAGCGTGATCTAGATTGTATTCTAACTCATAATGTCCTGGTGCCGAGCACTTGCATGCTCTGAATCAGGGGCACAGCATTTGCTTGCGTGACCTGGAAGCGAACACGGGATGTCTCCACGGCCGTTTCGAGTCTGTCAATCCGTTTATAGCCGAGTGAAGTGCCATTCACAACAGTCTTGAATGCTCCGTCAACAATGCAGTCAATGGCATATCCGCCTACTCGCTGGCCAAGTGCAATATGTTCTTGGACAACAAAGGCATCGACGAGCGCCGGGCCACCCAAGTCAATCTCGACCCATCCGGTGCGTTCCTTATCATCCATAGTCCAGTAAGTATCAGGTGAAGAGGTCAGCATGTTTGCAGGACCAAATGTGGTGAAGTTGACTCTGCCCCGAACACTGCTGGCTGTGACAATTGACTCGGGAATGATTAGGTTTCGGCCAAGAAAGACGTCTCTGAGACTTTTAAATTCCATGAGAACATTGATGTCCTCTTGGGTAATTTGGCCCGTTGTATCCGGCGGCACGTCAAGCAGAAGGCTGACGCTCCGCCCAACAGACTGCAAATACATGTCCAATAGCTGTTGTTCCGTCTTGGGCTGTTCATTGGCGTGCCAGAACCAGCCGGAGCGAACGCGAGCGTCGGCCTCGGCAGGGGTCCAGTACAGTCCATCTCGCAGCCCCGTCTGGAGATCTATTTCGCTCAGGCGGTCTTGGTCCTGCGTCCGGCTGATGGTATGCCAGTTGGTGGGGACCGTGATGCCGTCTTCGTTGCCCACCCATCGAGCGTCCACCCCTTGGTGACCCCACATGACTGCCGCTGCTTGGTGAGTGCGGATGATGTCGCGGAACCCGGCCCAGTCAAAGGTTTGAAGGGTGCTGGAGCCGCTGGCGCCGTCCAGCCAGATCTCAAAGACCGACGCGGGGCTACCGTCCTCAAGAGTGATGTTGACTAGTTCGGTGAGCTGCCGGCGGTAGAGATCGTTGTAGTCGCCGGCAGTATCATCACCAAATATCTGGGGCTCATCGTAGATAGTGCCGTTGAGTAGAGGCTTGGGCATAGCTGGGTCGCGGTGAATATCCCAGGGTGACAAGTAGACGCCAAACTTGAGATTATATTTCTGGGCTGAGGTGGCAGCCATACGAACCACATCTGCTTGCAGACCAGCTGCTGTGCGGTTCTTGGCCCAGCCGCCATTGGCAATCTTGTAATTGGTAGTTGAGGTGTTCCACAGCGCCATGCCATCATGGTGTTTGGCCGTTAAGATCATGCCGGACATGCCCGCATCGGCAAAGGACTTTGCCCACTGGTCGGTGTCGAGCGCCGTCGGGTTGAAGATGTCAGGAGTCTGCTGGCTTCTACCCCATTCCTCGTCGGTGAACGTGTTGGGCCCAAAATGGATGAAGGCGTAGTACTCCATGCGATGCCAGTCGAGCTGACGTTGGACGGGGACCTGAAGATACGCGACTGGAGGAGCAGTAACCTGGCCATTGGCCTGGTCGATGGCCAGCATGAGACATGCGACTATCACGAGCAGCATCTCGCGATACAGAGAGCTCATTGTTTTGCTTAGTCGCCCCAAAAGTTGAAGGACGACGGTGAATTAACGCAGTCCTGTCGGGCCGGCTACTTTTGGGTCATCATCTCTCAACTCTAAGGACTCAGTGGCTCTTTATAGCCCGGACCTTAATATATTAATAGGAGACTTCCCCTCATTCGCACGGCTGTCGTGGGCTATGCTCAGCCGATTGAAATGCAGCGCCCCACTTTGTCTCGGTGGTGATGTTACCTGATAACAAGCTTGACTTCCTAATATGGCATGGAGACTCATCCATGAAACGTAACATACGGACTGTTGCGTTTGGATTTCGATTCGCACTCGGAAGCTCCTTTCCGATCCAATACTAATTGAGACTAAGCATCTTTCGTTCTCAAGGGAATTGAGCCGGAGGCATTCTTTTAGATCTTGCAATATCTACCCATCTACTGCCCCCAACATGCATTGTTTGACGACTGAATTTTTAACAAAGACCGACTGTCATTTTCCGTAAGAAACAATAGGATAACTTCCATCCCGACTGATTTGTCTTTACCTTTTTGCTAACGAGAGGCAGCCCGTTTGTTCCGCAGGCTAACTAATGAACGTGCGTTTCCTAAACTATCAATTAATACATACGACATCGTTAAATGGGACCGGCCGTTGATTGCCTACTTACTCAATTTGTTTATTTAATTTCGCTATCGCAATTCGCAGCGTAGTTGTGTACGTCTAAGACTCTAATTATTAATTTACGCCGACGTGAGTTGGTCGCATCCGCTCTTAGACAACCAAAAATCTTCTTGATTTCGCATTTTTCTCGATTTCTTAAGTATTGCGCACAGTCTCGTAGTAAAAACACGGGGGAATAACACCAGACAAATTATCTTTAAGTGCCCTAAGCGTCTCTCACCTCTAGGCTCTCGCCCTTGTAGCTGAAAGACTCGGATAGTAAAGAGCTCATACGTGAAAACGATCAGAGACCCAAGAAAGCATACAGCACCAGGTATTCGCTGGTCGTCACCGACCCAACTACTAATCCGGCCCTCATTGGCTTATCTATGGGAGAGCGGACGGGATCCCGAGTTTTCCAATGGGTATGGTCGTATGTGACAGACTAGCGGTGCAGTGTTGACCATATCTCCATCCAGACCATGACGTTGAGCCACAGCTGGAGACTGGTGTCCATGGTGGAAGCAAGATATTGGCGTCGCAGTATTGGCCGCGTCTGCGCCTAATTAGCAGCGGATCATTGTCGAAGTCACGACCCTTTGAAAACAGACGGCTCAAGGTGGATTCTCAACGTTATGCCGCAGGAACAGAGACTATGTCAACCTTGGCGCGAGGATTCTCTCTGGTTGCCTGGGTGCGACACGGGAATCTTTCGCACGGCCTATCGCGATCATAGTAGATTTTATCTCAGCCGGTTCAAAGTCCGTATCATGTCCGGCGAAGTGAAAACCGGAAATGTGGAGCGTCTCCCGCGATTGAAAATGCCCGCCGCGGTCCTCCGGATTCACGCTGTTTCGTCCGGGTCTGGTGATGGTGACGTACCCATGCGTCCCCTCCTTCCATCACGTGTCATCTGAGAAGCAGGGAATGGAAGAATTCTCAGACTATTCTGACTTTTTGAGATCCATCAAACATGTCAAAAGCCATCGCAGGTCCTACTTTCACGATTCTATCAATGCCATCCATCCAGCTCATGGATACGGACCAGGGATTTGGAAGGGATCTGGAATGCCAGATGTCATTCTCGCTTCACCCGCTTGAAGCATAGAGTGGCCAGGCATAGGGTCGTGGAAAACTGCGCGACGAGGATAGATGCGCGTAAAGAGGATAAATAAAGCCGATTGTCAAAGCGATCCCACACATTCTTGAACCCGGGACAACGAAAGAAGCCATACAGATACTGTCATAACACCATAGTTTAGAACGCCCTATTCTTGACCGTGGATGGGATATGCCAACAGTGTTCCATGCCGGCCACTTAGTGACCTTTTTGGACATCAAAATCTCCACCAGCATCCTCAAGCAGCATTCGGAATCGTGCCACAGGCACTTGTTTTGTCGGGATTCGGCAGAAGACTTACTTCTCAGTCTTCGCATTCTTTTTGGAGATGCCCATGATTAGGGAAAATCAGAACGAAGGCGATGATGGCGGACCAGCGCCCTATTTACGCCACTTTCACACCTAGCACCCTTGTCAAATCCTGTCTTATGAGCGATAAAAATGGCCTCTCTCGACCATGCTCACCCTTTCGGCTTACTGGTATTCAAATACTCATAGTATCTGAATCTGTGGGTAGAAAAGCACGGAATTGAGCTGACTTCGTAGCAGAAACTCCCATTCGGAGTTCAAAACTCGATTGCCAGAATTTTGGCATGGCTTCCGTTGTGATTGTCGTACTAAGGTTCCATAATCTCATTGCTCAGATGATTCCCTTATCATTCAACTCATCCCGCACACGCGAGTTTCTTTCCATGCCAGAGCCCGAGAGGCGTATAAGTCCGCTGAACCACTTGACGCTTGTGATGTGCTGCTGTCTCAAGGACGCGTGGGTGACTCGACCCTTGCCCGGAAGTGGCAGAGCGAGGTGATTTGCCGTCGAGTTGGCTGAAGGAGGTGCTTGCCGTAGGATGGGCAGAAGAGGAATTGCTTGAAGAAAGGCTGAGTCTTGCTGTTGTCAGTCAAAGTATTGGAACTTCTGGCACTCTATTGTTCGTCCAGTTATTTGCGGTCGGGGTGGCTAGGAAAGAAGGCTTATAATCAGGCTGGTAAAAGGGGATACTCACGTCAAATAAGTTAAGCTGGAAGTGGCTGAAGGAGGTGCCGAGAGCGCTGGCCTTTGCCGTGAAGTGGCTATGGTAGGTGGAAGCGTCTGCAAGTTTGCGACAACTTTCCGTCGACTGAGGGAAATATCTGACACTTTTCCTGTTCATCAAGCCCCCCTTCCGGTTGCTGAGGAGCCAGACCCGCGGGGGAAATAACAAATCTAGGCTGACTGCTGACTTAGCAGCAAAAAAAGAGCACGGGAGGTAGGTAGAGGCTTTGTCGAAACCCAAGGGGTGCCTTAGGAGAGAAAATGTGAGAGCTTGAGACTCGGGCAGCTGTGGAATCTCGGTTCTGGTGTTGGAGGGCGCGCGGCGAGTATCTGGTTGAAGGACGTGAAACTAGGTGTGTTGGAACGCCCTGTCTCCGCAGCCAGCCGTTCGAACAAACAACCTAATGCCGGAGGGTTTCTGGATGGGCCTCTTTCGTCAGGGGATTCGGGAAGAACGAGGGTGGTTGAAGTAACCCTTCCGCAGCGAGTCAACTCTCCGCGGAGGGAAATGGTGAAAGTCGGATTCTTCCACGGAGATCTGGCGAAAGGAAGCCTTTTCGCGACGGCTAGCGATATGGCGATTGAAACGTTTTCGATGAAGCTCTTTCCACGGGTAAGTCTGGCAGATGAAAGCTTACTGGGGTGACCTTTCCGCGGCCAAATCTTTTTCTGGCGGAAGGATGTCGTCTGGCGTCCTGAAGACCCGACGAGCTGCTTGAAAGCAGCTCGCTCTGCAGAGCATACTGACAGGATAATAGCTTATCGAAGTGAGCATTCTGGGGCGACGTCGACTTACAGCACAGGGAGGTGCTGAAAGTGGAAATCTTCCACAACCAGCGGTCGGGAAAAGTCCAGCGCAATTGACGCTAGAGAAGGTCTTGTCGAAGTGACATTTTCCTTGGAAAACAGCGGTCTAGCTATTGAGGGCTTGTCAAGGAAAGCTTATCCCACAGGTAGTTTTGTGGCAGAAAGGAGCTTGTTGGAGTGACCTTACGGTATGGAGGTTAGCTTCCGGCGGAAGGACTCGAAGGAGGTCGTACGGCGTACTTCACTGCCATTTTCTCAGCGGCCAACAGTCTAGCAATTGACCTGGTGATCGGTGTTGTGGCTGGAGATTTGGAGAAGTGACCTTTGCATGGTGGATTTCAGGCGGGAGAGGTTCTGCGTGGTGGAACGCTGTCTCGATGGCTTGAGACTGGACAACTTGTCGGCCAGCGTCGACGGTGGAGAGACTGAGGCAGCGCAGAATGGAACGAGTATTGCCAGTCCCGACGGCCTCACTAAGGTAAACAGGAGAAAGGGCTCGTGAGATGGCTCCGAACCGCTTCATTCGTCGGCCATGCCCCAGCTGACCTGTGATGGAGGGGGGGCGTTTAGTTCAACCACTGATCAGTGCCCCTCTTGGTATGTATGTCATGGTGCGTTCCGGCCTGTACAAGGTCTAATGATTGCACATTGACTGCCGTGCGTATTGGAGATGTGAACGGAGGAAGTTGGTGGGCAGAGCCTGCGATTCCTCCGCTGGGTGTAAGTACGGCCTTACCACCTTCCGACGTCCTTTTTCTGCCGGTACCTAATAGTACCTTATTCCAACGTGTTCTTTTTCCCCGAGGTACATCCGGCCGTTCGATTCCCAACAATGGAATAGGACCTTGACTGACTACCTTATTTAATCAAAGGTTCTCTGCTCCTCCCACCTTCTGTTGCGATCATTCACCGGTACTTATTGCCCTGTACCTTCGTTTTCTCCTCGTACCACTTGTACTTGCTCACCCGAGTATCATTGGGGGCAACCACAGAACCGACGACCTTCCTAACCTAACTCGCCCACCCTACAATAGTAGCTTCCCTGGCCGTCTCTAATGCGCCGACGGGTATTCTGCTGTCAATAGGCATACGACGCAGGGGGGAAGCTCGCAGAAGCCATACCTTGGTCGCCCCCCCTGTAATCACTCATTCAAGCATCCTTCGCAGCAGCCGCAGACCCGACGCCCTTCCAGCCTCGCCTGCCAGAACAGCAACTCTCGCTATCTCAAAGACGCCGGCGAGTAATCCGCACCCTTATAAAGGCTATCCCGCCAGAGACATCTTCCCTAAGTAGGCAAATCACTCTTCAAGTCGTCGTTTTGACTTCAAAAATCAGTCAACAGAAACGGGAAGGCAGGAGATGCAGTGGAGGAAAGTTGGCTCTCAAGGAAGTAGGCGCTCGAGACGGGAAGGAGGTGGTCCGACGCGTCTTCCTCCGGGAAGTGTCGGAGAAATAGAGCTCCGGACCGGAAGTGGCTGTTACGGCGGTGCAGTCACGTGTAGCCCGACATTTGCTTGAACGAGCCTTGTATGGGCGCAGGATACCCTCCGTGTGGGTACGGAATACCTGCCCTGAGTCCACCAGCAGCACCGGGGGCGAGTCGACTGATGCTTGCTTCTCCTTTTTGCGAGACTCCGTGGACACTAACGCGAAACGCAGCATCGTCAGCGACTTGATCTACAAGTCGGTATCTGCCAACAGCCTCGTCCAGGTACGTCAACAGGAAGGTCACCCAAGACGTTGCGTTGAAGTCCCCGGCGACCTCCTCCCTGCAATACTGCATAGTGAGAACCGACAGCCCGACCATCGTGGTGGAGGAGGTCAAAATCATGAAAATGTGCACATCCCTGTCAACCGTGCTGTATGCGATGAACAACAGGGAATTCACCGATGCCAAGAACGAGACGACGAGGTTCATATCCAGTTCATCCCTCAGAACTCAGAAGAATGACGCCTCAAGCTCGATCTCAGGGGCGTGAGCACACTTGTGCACGATGCAGTACGGAAGGGAACGCCCTGGGTGCCGCCGAGACCCTGGCTTCGAAACTCAAGAACCACCCGAAGGAGGTCAGCTACCAGACCTCCTAATAAGTCCCACCCTTCGCCGGAGTTCTATCCCCTGGCAAGAAGAAGGCCGTTGTCATCTTCAGGATCTCCAAGGGCATCAAGATGCCGAACGCATCGTTGAGGTGTGGCTCGTGGTGCGATATCTTGAAGGACCTAGCCCTCGACAGATACGTCAAGATTGGGTCCAGAGGCAAGGCTCCCGGCACCTTGATCGCCAAGGTGTGCATGGAAATGAGGGACAATAAGAACATGCAAAGGCTGAGCGCGTACAAGCTCTTAACCAACGCCTACCCGTCCGCCGACATTGAGCCCTCGATTGGTGTCCTGTTGGAGGCTGCATCTTCCAGAACGTCGCAGGGGACATGCCGTCTCCTAGCTTGCCGACGGAGTCCGGGTGCTCGGTGTCGTGGACAAATATCTTCTCCCCTACCAGCCCGATGAGACCAATCGCCACGTAGTAGCTCATGCACTTTCCCGCGCCCAGGACCCAATAAAACGCCGTTAAATCAACGACGACCTTGCTGCTATCCATGATGGACCCCGCGTGGATGACACTGATGTCGGTCGACCCGACCCACGAGATGGCTTTGTAATTCACGCAGTACTCGTCTGACTACTGAGTGAACAGGTACGTCCTCTTATTGCCTGTCGGGTCGGGGTTCATCGGCCGACGCTTATCATTAACGAGGATGTTGATCATGCCGTAGCGTCTTAGATCTCGGACGTCCCCGACGCTGTCAAAGATCTCACTGTCTTGCCAACGGACACAACGTCGTTTAATTACACGAGAACCGTAGTCCACCACGTCGTCAAATGTGTTCTTGGAGTTGCCGAGGATTCTTCTTCATCACGCTTGTATCGTGATGCACAGTCAAGGTGATGCACGCGTACTGTAACTCGTGCTCGTTGGAGACTCTGCTCGTCTTCTACATCATGCAGAGGTCCATCGTCTGGCTTTAGCTCGTGATGTCGTTCGTCTCCGCTCGAAGAGACTAGCTAACGGGCCTCCCAACTTCTTGCACAGCCAGCAGTCATGCCACCCTTCCTCGACGTTCGTCTTGCTCATCATGATGTTGAAACAGTTGACGGTTGACTTGTTCGAGACGCTTTCCATGTCCATGATGACTCTTTTTTGGTGAAGGAGCAGTTCTCGACCATCTTTCAACATAAGGCGCACAACATAGAATCAAGTCCGTCTTGAGACTCCGTCTGTCTTGAGACTCCGTCCGTCTCAGGTCCTTATCTGGCTTAAGTCTTTATCTGTCTTAGGATTCCGTCTGTCTCAGGACTTGGTCCGTCTTATAATTTTGTCCGTCTCAGGACTTGCCTGTCTTATGACTTCGTCTGTCTTAGGACTGCGCCTGTCTTAGGGCTTTGTCTTAGTAAGTTATCTATCTTATGAATTCGTCCGTCTTAAGACCTCGTCCGTCTTAAGAGTTGTTCGTCTGAGGCTTCGTTCGTCCTAGGTCCTAGGCTTCGTACGTATCAGGGCTTCGTCCTTCTTAAGAATCCATCTATCTGAATAATCCGCCCGTCTTGAGAGGTTATCCGTCTCTGGAAATCCTTAGTCTCAAGAATCTATCTTTCATAAAAAGCTTTCCGTCTTGAGAACTTATCCGTCTTATAATCCGTCCCTCTTAAGACTATGTTCGTCTTAAGACTATTTTCGTCTTCAGACTATGTTCGTCTTCAGACTACGTGTATCTTAAGTATACGTTTTTCGTTTCTCCTAGAATGTCGTCTTAAGACTAGGGTTGTCTCAAGACTCTGCCTGTCTTAAGTATATGTCTTTCCTAAGACATCTAATTTAGTTTGATATCCGTTTCATGCCCACATCTGTCTCATAACCACGTCTGTCTTAAGACCATGTCTGTCTTAAGACGTTTTACCTAGCATCACGCTACGAAATATAAGCTGCCCTTGATTTCTTGGCCTCCTTCCCCGCCGACGACGGTGTCTCCCTGGAACACAATACTCCGGCACAAATCATGCAGATCAAAGCTCCATGGGCTAGACATCTCAACGAGGCAGCGGATAGAGTGCTGGTGGTGCTGGAGCCATCTTCGTAACTCCTGAACAACATATCATCCCACATACTGTCAGTTGTCCTATCTTTGCCTCAAAGAAATAAACGAAGCACCCATCGTAGGGTTCGCTTTAGCCCTTGGCATGGATATGAGAGATAATGAGGTTTCTGGGGCTGCTCAGTTGACAACAAAACAAGTGGCTGGCAGTTTTGCGATCCAGCAACCTCACTTTTCCCCCTGATTATGCAAGGATTCGAAACTTCTACGGCGATCTGACAAATTCCTGATTCCTCATATTCCTCGAGCATCAATCTTTCTTCCTTTTTCAGAAGGAATGTTGATGGGATTGGCACGAAGATCATTCAATGACTGACGTCTAGATTTCTCCAACTGCATACTTGATTAGAATTCCTTTCTTATTACAGGGAAGCTACCATTTTGTGTACCTCTATATCTGAGTGGGCTCTGCCCTTGATATGGTAGTTATCTCAACCCCCTGCCTTTTCCCAGTCTTTGCATGTGCATAAGTTGGACCCACTAGACTGGCAACGGGTAGATCAAGTAAAGTTAGAGGCCGAGGATTTGATCTGAAACATGGTTTGGAATTTCCACTGGCTCACCTGATGGTCCAACATCGGGCTCAAATCGTGGCTCCTTTGTCTCCGTCCTGGTGTTGCTCTACGATCTTGGCTTCATTCTTTGCGAATTCGTCTTGAATTCCTAACCCAGCAACTGAATGGAGGTGTCATCCGGGGGCTGAAAGCCATTCTGAAAGCTGAACCGAACTCTTTAGAAAAGGGCTTCCAAAGGAAGTGATGAACTCCAGAAGTAGGGGTATGCTCTCCTAGGGAAGAAAGCTTCCTTGCACCGATCGACTCCCAAGGAATTGAGGAGATATTGGAATTTGAGACTTGAACTCGAGGTCGGCTAGCGCGCGTTCCAATCAACTCCTCCATCATGTTATTGAAGTATGGGTTTATCAAGGTGACTAAAAAAGCAGGCTCTTTCCCGGCGGGCCTTGCCCGCCTGAATATTTACGCCGAAGAGCCCAATTCTCTCAGAACAAATCATTCCCTTTGATACTTTGACAAAACCTAGAGCATGATTCTGAAAGATCTTCGGCAATCGATTTGGGTGCTCCAGAACGCGATTAAGGGACAAAATTTCTACCTCAGAGGACTTGATTCGTTGAGTTATTGGCCTGTCATAATCTTCTGGTGAATATCGGCTTGTATTGACCAGCCAGATTCCTACATTTCATTCTTGAAGTCTGCGTTGTAGATGTGGCTTCTCTTCAGCGGCACAGGAGGAGTGCCCTGCTCATCCATCCGGCACTTCCAAGGTTTCTTAGGGACTCTTTACCATACATGGCTTACAACAAGGGTCCCTTCACTCGTTGGCTATCATTACCGCTTCTAGATGTCTGATAGATGGAGGTCAATGTCCGCTTGAGGTCTTGAGCCACTCCCTAGCAAGACCAGCACGTCTCTTTCTTCGTTTCATGACACTCCTTATCCATCTTACTAGGCGTTCAGCCCTTCGTTCCATTCTGTTCTATCTGGAGGAGCTTACCATCTTGTCTTCCTTCTAATTCTCGGCCTGGTACCATATGAGAAACCAGACTTTTGTAGATTCGCCTCTTGCTTTACTCACTTCCGACACATCACGTAGCTGTTCTCTACATTGAGTCCGGACCCTCATACCATAGGACGGTTCTCGTTTTTTTATGCTTCACTTTTTCAGTCACGACTTGTATGCAATTTCACTTCACTTCCCTTTCCTTGCCGTTCTGAGCCGAGCTTTCCTTTCGTTATGCAGCGAGAAAATGGCTATACTCGCGTGCGAAGGCTTTGGAGCTAGCACCGAGTCCGTGGGTTTTCCCGACCAAACGCTTCGCCCTCAACTGCCAGTCAGATCTGTTTTTGACTGAGTCAGGTATCTTCCACAGTTTATTGTAGCCCCAGGATATAGGATTCGTGACGGAGGATCCCCCTCCCCCCTAATCGTAATTTCCTTTTGATCTTGCTTATTTTCTTTTCGTCCCCCCGCACGCAAACGTCAGTCTGTCATGCTTTCGTTTTTCCCTGTTCTCCAAGGCGCAGAACGGCAGGATCCAAGCGACGATTGCCTCTTACTACTGAGACTCAAACCAGCTTCAGTTGACACCAGCAGAAGGAGGTACCCGGTTGACAGCCGAAGGGCCCCTGGACCAGACTAAACCAGACCGAGCCCAACTCGACTGAGTTGAGAATAGGCCGAGAAGAGCGTTAAAGAGAGCTCTCAAGGTTCATAGAGTTTCAGACAACACGGAGCGGCCTGCTTGAACTGTGTTATCAACGTGGATTTCGGTGGTAGGACTGGGACAGTAGCCAAGATGATTAATGCCTCGACAGCCAAGAGCATTGTATTGCTAACGGCCTACACTCAACACATTATCAACACGCTACTTGGCTAACTTGACATTGAACTTGGACATCGGCACTAAAACAAGGAAAAGAGTTGCCTAATATCCAAGATCGGATTTCATTTACACTCTCGGTGCGCCGCCAAGAGCTTGCGCGCCGTTATCATTCCGATTTAGCGTACATCGCGGCCGGTTGACAGCCTCCTCTTCCTAACCCTAGCTTTGTTAAGCGAATTCTGGAATAAGCCACTAGATGTGATATCATAAGGGAAGGCGAGTGTTTCTGAAACACAGACGTTCATGAAATATTCTTATCGTGAAATAATTGTCCAGTCAACTTTCTGGACTTCATCGACTCTGAAGTTGGTATGAGTGACCACCACCCCTAATAATCCGCCCTTGTGCTGCAAAACTCGATCTTCGATCGCCGCCTCGTTCTACACAAAGCATTTCAACGATTAGACAAACAAATTGGTTCTCAAAATGGGCATATGGTGCTCCTGTCATTGGCGAGGTCTGCGAAAGCTTAGGATACCTTAGTCCACAGTCCACCCGAACTTGGTGGTCTCCCCGGAGTCACAGTCCTCAGACACGAATGATCGTTTGTCGCGACTGCAGCAGGCCTTGCTGAACACTTTACTCTTCATATTGAGCTACGGATGAGCATAGTCGAGACTGAGAAGACTGAGGTTGGAACATATGAGATGCTAGAGGTATTGCAATTCTTCTGTAACTGGGCGTCCATTTAGTACAGGCCAGCATTCTCGCTCAGTGACTTTCCAAATCGCTGCTTTATTAGATGACCCCATCTTCTAGGATTATAGGCACCGGTAGTGGTATTCTAATAATCCCAAGAAGAATGGTAAAATGATTGGTTGAATCATATTAGTATGCACAAAGCGAGTATTGATCTTCGGCGGTCTTATTGGTAATCACAAGCTTCACCAGTATTCGCAGCACTCGCGACCCTACTCTCTCTGAGATTTTGCGCCCTGCTCTGAAGATTGTAC